ATCTTTTCCAATTCCAAAACATCTTTTTTGAGCTGGGACTACCAGATCCGCAAGTAATATTCAACATGTGGACTTATATAGAGGTGGTATTATATTTTCTGTCTTATTTATCGATCCCTTTCCTAATGGTTCCTAACATTGTTCAGTTTGGGTTTTTTTGTTTTGTTTTTTGACTGCAGCAGCGCTTTAACCGACTGGGCTGAAATTCTACATGCTGCATATCTTCCTTAGGCTGAATTTTTTTGGAAAGTTTCAGCTAAAATGGTTTAGCCATTTCTGAGACAAAGGCTAGGGAAAAATGCATAGTTTTGCTAATGTTAAAAAATTCTTGGTGACCTTTTCTTTGAAAAGCTCTATTACTGTGGAGCAAGGACTTGAAATTTGACAGGAGGCGGCTTTGGTGTGCCTTTTGCCATCCCAGTGAAAATCCACCCACATTTAGCCAAGTTACAAGCCTCTGGAAAAAAAACCCATAGTTTGCATACGCTCAGTAGAGACTTTAATTTAAGCAGCTAAAATCTCCTTAGAGTAAGTACTCACTAAGCATGCTTGAACCTCTCTCAGCTCTTAGTGCAGACCTGACTCTCGCCCGTGCTCTCAGTGACTTCCCTGTGGCACCCAGGCAGCGCGGAGGAAGCTGAATGATTCGAATGCAGAGGGGCCAAAAAGCTGAATTTGGAGGAATGGCTGGGGAGGGACTGGGACTAGGAATTTGAGGATGGGTGTTGGAAGGCAAGGACAAGGAGCCAATTGGGGAAGATTGAGACTGGATGAGAAACTTGGGGAGGGAGACGAGGACTCGAAGCCAGTGTGGTGATGGTGGTGAGACAGAGAGAAGGGAGAGATAAATCAGATGAGGAGCCAGGAAGTGGGGGGATTAGACTGTCTGAGCAAGGAGATGGGGACAAGGAGTTGGGATAGGAGAGTAGGAACTGGGATTAGCTGAGCAAGGAGATTGGGACTGGGATGAAAAGCAAGAGGAGTGGAAACTGGGACTGGGTAGGCAAAGAAAATGGGACTGGGAAAAGGAACTATGAGTGGGGAGAGGCTGGAGGAGATGGAGTAGAAGGAGTCAAGTTTGTGAGAATGGGCTAAAGAGTGTGTTCACTAGAGCACACAGCCCTCCACAGCCTGGAATGGAACCCAAGATTCCAGAGTCTCACCATTCCTCTGCTGTCACCAAGTAACTATGAAATCCACTGGCAAAGTATGTCCCATCCCCCTCTAGTGTGGGTCCACATAAAGGAAAACACACTGTTGCAATCAGTTACTCCGTTAGCTCAAGTGGCAGCGGACCGGGTGATGGATCTTAAGATTCCAATCCTGCTGATGAACAATGTGGATATAAATATGATGCAACATGATGGAATTTCTCAGTTTGCTTTTTAAAAACCTAGGACATTACACACACATAAAACAATGTTAAGAGAGCATTATTAAGAATGCAAAGTCAGGCAAAAGCTTGGAAATCCAAGAATTAAGATTGCCTGTGCAACTTGAAATCAGCCCTTGTGGGAGCATGCATGGTATAGGCTTTAATTAACATGATCACAAACTATTTTTTCCACCTTATTCAGTGCACAGGATGGATCTGCTCTGGCTATGAATCAGGTTTGTGTAGCAAAGGAGGCTGTTGTATGTAGAACCTCTGCCTCATTTGTTGCAGAAGTTAGGTGGTGCATCTACTGTGGTTCTGGGAAAATAATGGGCCTAGGGATGAGTGTGAAAATCACAGGGCAAAAATCAGGTAATGGAAAGGAACACTGGGCAGAGCACACCTGACAGTACCCAATGCTCCTCAAAGGCATCTGAGGAGTCAGTGGACAACACCCAGAGGAACTCTGCTTGGAGGCGTGACAGAACAAGGGAAAGGAAATAGAATAGTCCCCTGTCCAACTTCCTCCTCCTGGTATGGTGTCTTAGCCAGCAACAGGAGGAGTCTGATGAGGAGGTCCTGCAACTTTGTGGGGCCATGGACAGGTGTCCCAGGATCAGGAGGTGCAGGGAGAAGTGCAGCCAGAGCCTCAGTAAGAGGTTCTACACGATCTGGAAGAGGGGCTACAACTTGATGCAGTCTATGCAGATGTGTGCCAGGGTCTCCCTCTTTCTGCAGATGGAAAGGCGTTTAGTGAATGAGGCAGAGGACTACAAAGAAGAGAAAGGATGGTTAAGACAGTTAAATGCTTCCCTAGAGAATGGGATTCCATCCTTGCCTCTGCAGTTCCTATGTGATGCTGCGCAAGTCACTTAAACCCAACTTTTCATTTTCTGGGTGCCTAACCTGATACCTTGGGGCCTGATTTGCAGAAGTAATGAGCACTCTCAGCTGCAACTGAAGTAAGAGCAGTGCTTTCAGCATATAAAGTGCTAAATAATGCTAAGTACTATGAAAAATCATACCTAGACATCTCAAATTGGCCACTCAAAATAAGTGGATACTTGCCCTTAATCTTTCTGTTCCTCAGCTTCCCATCTATAAAATGTGGATGACACCATCCTCTCACCTCAGAGGGGTCTGGTGAAAATATATTTATTCAATGCTTGTGAAGAACTCATAGTACTGTGATGAGTGACACAGAAAAGCCCTTGAGGAAATGAAAAATTCTGTCTTCAGAGCAGGGTTTGAATATGCTGCAGTGAATAAGGCATGAGGCCACACACTGAATAATGAGAAAAAATAAAATATTGACTAGCCGCTCATTAATTTAGTGCTATCTGTCCTGTCCATTGAACGAGGCAGGAGTTGTGTGAAAAAAATAGTAAGTGAACATGTCATTAAAGACCGCAGACACAAGGGGTCAAATTAAGGTTGCACAAGTGGTCTTAATTCTGGCATTTCCTAACTTTACTTGGCAACTTAATAATGTTCTCTTAGCATAGTTTGTGCATAATATATAAATAAAAGTGCAAAACTCAACACAACCTTAACTACAGAGCCATGATTAGTGCCCTCCATAATATATATACAGTGCACTCCTTTTATAAGAATCACACCCATTGCAGATTATTTGATTCTTATAAGCCACTGATTCTTACAAGCGGAGTGTAGGTTAGTATAGGATGATTTTGTCCCAGTGGTTTTGATCACTGTATGCAGTTGATTCTTACATCGGTGATTCTTATAAATAGAGTGCATTGGAATTCTACATTCAAGCAGAGGTTACACTTAAAGTTTATTTTGATTTTAGAAAGAGTAAAGGTTTCAAAGGTATTCCCTTTACTTTACTACTAGACTTGGTAAAATCTCTAGAATGAGAATGTACTTTAATTGTGTCCATTATCTACTTCCATCATCTGTGTGTGTGTGTTGTATGCGTACACAGAAATACATTACTTTTTATTACGATTAAACATATAGATCAATGTAAAAAGACATTCCACTAGAATTTCAGCATTTCAAAATGCTGTACTGGGGGTTTTGAGGTAGCACATGAGGTTCATTTTACTCCATGTACTACGTACTCTAGGCAGTTCTGAAGCTGTTAAAACAGCATAAGCTATTAAAAAAAATAGAGTGAATGCACTTTGCCTCCATTAAGGTTTCTGTGGGAGCCATCATTTCTATTTTGTGCATTTAGGTCAGCATTTTCACAAGTGACACTGGATGCCCAACTTGAGATGCCTTAAAGGTGTCCCATTTTCAGAAAAAGCGGAGCACAAACCTTCTGAAAAATCAGGACCAGGAAGGCATCACAATTTTGCCCAAAAATTGAGACGCCCCAAAATCGCTGGTCACTTTTGAAAACCTTAAATAATAAAAATTATGTTTTAACATGTTTTGTATTGAACTGTAGCATACAGTTGGTAGTCAAACCATGGCCTCAGAGTTAACTTTTGTTGTAGTTCATTGGATGGAAACAGGACATTTCACTACATCTCCCTCTCTATCTAGCTTCCATAAGGCACCAAAGACATTGATTGGTAAAGGATGCTGAAATCACCTCATGTCAGAAAAAATGCAGCAATAAATACCAATTCAGTATTTCCTCTGGCTCTATGAAACGGCATTTGCCTCAGAGTTATTTCAGCACAGCTCAGCAGCACATTAGAACAGAGACAGGAGGAGGAGGAGCAAGCAACACACAACTAAGAGCTGGGTGTGAAGGGAGGAGGGCAAGTGAAAAACAACTCAAAATGAAAAAACTAAATGTAAAACTGCCCGCTAGTAGCTGTTGAAGTAGAGAAGCTATGGGGTTGAGGGAGGAAGAGATGGGAAGGAAAGGATAAGCCATGTAATAACATGAAAAATAAGGAAACTGATGAATAAAAAATTATCCATCCATTTTTCACAACCTATTATACCTGTTAGATGTTTATGCCACCACCAGACCTATTATTTCCTCAGACTACTGAGTTATTTTATTCTGCATGAATCTGTTGAATATATAAATCTGTAAAGCTCTAATACATGTGAAATACCCTCTGCCATCAAGTATAGCAAATGCCATTAAGCCCTCCAATCTAATAATTAAAGTAATGGAACATTACTTAGAGCTTGTGTTACAATTCTGTCCTTTCACTTCCCTTATTTATGTGGTTTTCACCATAACACAAGTTTATATAAAAATAAGCACATCAAAGAGAGACAGATGAAGACATTAATTCTTTAATTATACATTGAATATTTAATATGCCTGATGACGGAATACAATTGTAGATAAGATTTGGAACCAAATTCTGCTTGCATTACTTGAGTAACCTTATTTACTTCAAAGAGACTACCTGCATGAATAAAGCAAGACCAAATTTGATCAGCTGTTATTCCTAGTTTCGTTTAAAAACACATTTAAAAGTTAAATATTCCAAAACAAAATTAGTAAGTTTCTATGGGTCAGACTCTTACACCCTGACTTTAGGAACAGTGCCAGTGAAATCAGCAGGTTACTTGTTGAGTAAGATACTATATAATGCAAATAAGGATGTCAGAATCTGGCCCTAAGTAGCTTGGCAAAACACACACTTATAACAGTGTACTTTAAGAATACAATTATTATAGTTACCAGCTGCAATTCTTGCTGCTTTTGCGTAGTTTCCATTTTCAATGCATGATATCAACTCACTTCGGTCTTCCAAGGTGTGTCTTCGTATAAGCGCTGGTTTGCCTTTACCACACTTTGGCAAGCTAAAACTGCAGAGATATAAATATTAAATGTTACTGGAAAACTACAATGCTCACTCTCCTCCATCAAAATGTTTGGAATTTAAGATATAGTACTCATATGTCACTACAGTTACCTAAAGGTGAGTAGTAAATTCTACTGCATTTCACAGAATGACCGCACCCACCTTAAGTGGGGATGGTAAGTTCCCAGCAATGGGTTGGCTGGGGGACCTGGATGGAAGGGGGCTGGCAGAAGCCTTCAGGGTACATATTGAATGATCATGGAGTTACCTGTACTGTATGCTTTTATCTGCCGGGTAGTCCTCAACATCTAATAATAAAGTTGCAGCCTGATTAAAACCACATCAAGTGTTTTCTTTCAGTATAGCCAGACAACACGTACAAATTGATTGATTCAACTTGTATTGATAAACGAAAGAAAATTTAACTAGATAATAAGAATTCCTTCTCCTCCATGCTCCCAAAAAGTGATGTTCAGAAACATCACAGAACTATAGGTATTTTCCCATGGATAAATTTTGCACACTCCTGCATTTTTACTTTAAAGATTTTAGCAATTTGTCCAGAAATTATTTTGAACTGCATTCACAATGTATCACTCATCCTCAAGGAATGCAATATGAAATTTCCTTATGCTATGCAAATCAAATTTTGGGCCATGAACATGTTAAAGCTATCCTCTTATGCAGTCCAACATTGATGGCGAATTTAAGAGTACACAGCAGAAAAATGGTTACTTATTAAAGCAATTCTGGTTCTTCCAGATGACTGCCATAACAAGTCACATTCATGGGAGATACGCACCACTGGTGAGCAAGCTTGGAACTTTCAAGCAAGCTTTCAAGACTCAAGTGAAGCCCCAAGTTCATGCACCCTTGTCTAGCTCTGGGGCATAAATGCACAAATGCGGGTGCAGCCCAACTGCCCTTTCATTTCATTTCTCTAGTTCAGGAACCCTTAACAAGAGACTCCAAAAACGGAGGGAAGGTGAGAAATGAGAGTGGATGCATTTGGACAACCATTTCAAGAAATGCAATTCAGAACTATGATCACTGCATGAATTACTCCCTGGTTCGATGGCCATGGAATTTGCTATGTAATTCACCCCCTGCTATAAAATTGGGCTTCAGAATTTACACCTTTATTAATAGGGGGAAAAAAAAAAAGTTTCTAGCCCTAATGGTTGTGATGATAACCTACAAAACATGAACTTAGCGTAAACTGAGGCAGTGCTGGCTTTCTGATTTTGCAGAGAGCCTGAAATAATTATTTCAAAAGATGTGAACCTCAATGTTGTGTTAATTTTGAAACCTAAAAATGAGAATTTTAAACTTTTTTTTTTTTTTAAACCTAGACATGTTTGTGTTGTTGCTCCAGTTTAGCGCATACATTTTAGTCTGCTGGTGCATGATTATAGTTCTTTCTTTAAACTAAAAAAACAATTTAAAAGGGCAAAAAAAAGTCACATTTTTACCTTGAATTACATAAAAGGCTGTTACTGGAGGATATGCTAGATTCGGATGCACAGCGGCGACGAGGTTCAACTTTTCTTCCTGGAGCATCATCTAACTCTCTCTCTTTACTTCCATCTCCAAAACCATTTGATAGGCCTATAATGTAAACGAGAGGTATACATTACACAGAATTTTAAATTGCATTTTGTTTTTATACAAGTCTAAATACAAGTTTTTATATAATTTTTGGTCCGCATCTGTTAAGTGACTGTGAAGTGATATGAGTAAAAGAAAAAATGAAATGTTTCATTTTCAAAAATGAAAGATCAGGCAAAGTGTGTGTAGTCCAGATGTTAAGAAACAGGAAGTTAATTTCAGGTAACAGGAAAAAGATGAAGATTATATTACAAGATGCGCACAATGGCACATCAAAAAATATTCCCCATATGTTATACTTCAATAAGTACTGCATTGGATAGCTAATCTTGAGTGCATGGGTAGAACCAAAGAACAAGAAGTGTTTAAAAAAACAAAACAAACAAACGTTTTGTAAGAGTCTGCAAATCAACAGAAAACTCTATATAAAACTTTAATGTACTTAAAAATCTGTAAATTGCAAGACAAGTAGTACTGAAAATAGCCCTTCAATGCTCAAAGTAACCAGTAGTGGTGATTAATTAAAGGTCCTATCCAATGTCCACTGAGTCAATGGGAGTCTTTCTACTATAATCAGGTCCTGAAAACCAATTTCGGAATAATGTATTTCAATGAGAATCCAGACTTAAAACTATTAAGAGAATATTTTGTCTACTTCCGTATCAAAATTAATAATGTAAATTCAGTTGCTGTCTGCTATCTTTTCACCATAGTTTGTGTGTTTTGTTTCAGGGTTCTGATGAGGACAATGTAGTAGAAAACACACAGAATGCTCAAGCTACCAATCTGAGAATTTTATAACTGGGCCACCATAAATCTTGCATCTATTTGCTTATTCATCCAGTCTGTATTTCTTAAAACTCTTCATTTGTCTGTGTTTAAACAGCATTCTTTACTTAAATAAAGTGTGTATCTGTATAGGATCCTATGAGAAAAACATTTTTAAAAACTCTATATTTTAAACAGATGTGACTCAAAGCAGACTCAGGAAGAACTTCAACAGAAATGGAGCAAATTAAGCTAAAGCAGAGGTCCCCACACTGTGGGACATGCCCACCTAGGAAAGTTCAGGGAGGTGCAGCTGGGGCCGAGACCAGCCCCCATGGGGGGCAGGAAGGGAGGATCCCGGCTGATGCTCCCCTCCCGGCCCCAGCCCCAGGCTGAGGCTCTGCTCCCGCCCCTAGCTGTGGCCCCAGCCTCAGCTCCCTTACCCCCTGTCTGTGGGCTCCCTTCCCAGAGCTGTGCCCCCGCTCCTGTGCCCAGCTCTGGGGGGGGGGTCATGGACAGGGGTAAGGATGGGGGGGGGGGGACACATGATCTAAAAAGTTTGGGGACCAGTGAGCTAAAGGAACCAGTGTCCAGCTAGCTGCTATGGGCCTTGAGATCCTCTAGAATTATCTAATTTTATTCTTAAGTAGGACTTCTGAGAACACTTATTTTCTTGACATACAAGATGATGTACATTCAATTTTTTATTTAAATCACATGTGCAAAGTTGTGACATTTTGCACTTTTAAATAGAAACTGTAAAAAACAGCCATTCTACATGCTATAAAGGATATCAGAACACTCATTTCATAGGCAGAATTTCCTAAAGAAGTTTCTCAAGTCCTCTGTCTTATTTAAATTTTCTAATTTGCATTAGGAGATTCTTCTGTATTTTGGAAAAGTGCAACAAAATTGACAGGAAAATTATAAAAAGTAGTAAGTACAAAAAAAACCTCCTTATTACATACTGCACGGTAGTAAAGACAAAGGCTGATCACATGTAGAGTTAGTTGTAACTTTACCATATTCTAATTCATTTCACTACTAACTAGAAATTCCATTTCCCAAGCCTTCCCAAAGTCACTGACTAATCAGATCTTTTTGTATTAGCGCCCTATTTTATTTGATACTATCCAACTCTATCCTATGGTGTTTTCACACGGAAGCTCTTCTCAGCATAATTCTTGAAACCTCTATGTATCAAAGTATTTAGACTTGTGTAGAAAATGTAAAAAAAGCACCAATCCAATGCTTTAAAAACAGACTGTTATAGCCTGCTACCTTTATATTTAAAATATGAACAAATTAAAAATGACAAGAGATTACTTTTTCATTTTTCACTTTTCTATCATTCTTCCCATTCAGAAACTTCTAGTGTCTTTTGCAATTCTCCACTGGATCTGTCCAAGTCATTAAATATACATTTTTTAAATGTTCCTCAGTACAAAACTATGTACATGCTATAAGGAGGAGGAAGAGGAGAATAAAGTAATTATTTTATCAGTGTCATTAAGCCCTAAATTGTAAATATTAATCAACCCTTTATCATGCTCATTCTCAGCCAGTCAGTGCACGTAGTTCCAGGAGTTTAGCCTTAATGTTGCTGAAAATTCCTTCAAAGCAAGAGTGATTTAAGAGGATGCCTATATGAAATGTTTTAGACAAAGGATATGAAGCCTTACTGAGAATGACTAATAACAGGTTTCCGCAGGTTATCCTTTCATTGTAGGATATCTGTCAGCAGGTAGACAGACCTAGTCTTAAATAAAGTTTTGCCAATTTGTTTGTTTTGCATTGTGGCCACAAACCAGAAATATAAATTACACAATGATTAAGCTACTAAAGAAGTTAACAGATGTTGGCTCACAGATCAATCCTAGGGCTGTGGGGTCAGGATGTAAATCAGAGCTGTTTCTACAACTTAATTTATCAGATATAGGGCTGAGTTCCTAGCCCTTTAATGAACAGGAAAGCAAGAGGAAATCTGTATAAGCACCCTTGCAAGGTTACGATAGCATAACATGCTACTGTATAATGTGGCTTAAATAAGTCTGGCCTATATGGTATCTGTGCCACCTGTAGTTGGAACTGTACATTTTCATCTGCAGGGCCTTCCTAGGATAAAGAATTTGAGTGGGTTTCATTGTTGTTTACTTCACCAACACAATATTTTTAACATTACATCTAGCAAACTTCCAACTGGGTCCAGGGCGGGTCTTTAGCAACAAAAAGAAAACAAACCCAACACACATCACAATCGTTACTGTGTTAAGATAACTTCATGATTTTATGATTTATAATTTATGATTTTACATCCTGAGTCTTCAATTCCTGACAGAAAGCGCCATAAAATAAGAAAGTCGCTAAAGTTTAATTAGAGCTGCATTATGAGACAGTTAGAATCCTCCCGGACAAGATTAAAAATCTACTTGGGGCTTAGTAGTACAATATGATCTAAGAGAGTCAAATAAAGGGAAACTCTAGAAAGTGCAATAGCACTAATCAGGAAACATTTAGCTATTTCTCTATCTTTTTGTGAAAAATTCAAATTTAACCTATTTAATCTTTAGAAGCTGTTCACAGTAATCCCACTAAATGAACACCAAATCCTAAATGACAAATAACTCCACAACATCTACTTCTCAAAAGTTAAAAAAAGGCATTTTAAAAAGAGACTGTCTCATTAAATCTTTGAAACTAATATGGCAAGATTGTTCTGTTTTCTTGTTGCAAATCTGTATTGTGACTTCATAACTGGATCATAAAATTTCATCCCCATAATTTTCTAAGTACTCCAAAGCATCTTTGACTTGTAAAAAAGAAATAAACATAGTAGTAATACCACACTTAAATTCTATTAACTGGAATTGCTTGGCTATTCACCCAATGAAGCTCCCTGTCCCATGAACAAGAGGAAATCAGGGTATGTCTATATTGCAATAAAAAAATCTGTGGCACCGAATCTCGGAACTCAGCTTCTTTGAAGGGCTCAGGTTGTGAGGCTAAGAACTGCAGTGTAGACGTTCGGGCTCAGGCTGGAGCCTAGGCTCTGATATCCTGCGAGGGGATTGGGTCTCAGAGCCTGGGCGCCACCCTAAGCCCGAACGTCTATACTGCAATTTTCACCAGACAGCCCAAGCCAGAGTTAGCTAGCCTGGGCCAGCCGCAGGAGTGTTGTGGATCTCCCGCAAATATTAGGCAGTTACAAGATACATCAGGACAAGGCTCTCTCCTATAAAGCACGCAGGAATCTCCTCTCAAATCCATTTGCATCTTACAAGTTCAGTCCACTAAAGAAAAGGCTTTGGAAGAATCTTAGTTTTGTCCTCCTTTGCGCTTTACAAGTCTGTAGAAAGTCTATTAAATCAGCTGTGTATGCTGTGCACTCAATTTTCAAAAGCCCATAACTTGGTCACATTAAAACTAGTTTTCTATGCAACAGGGAAAAGTTACACCTTGGTGGCAGCTATTTCCATCCACTACTTCAACTTTCAACCCCCAGTTATATCAGCTATAGACCTATTCAAAGCAGTCTATACAATTTCTTTGCATTCTGACTTTCACAAAACAGAAACCCCCACCCCCCCCAAAAAAAAATTTTTAGGCAAAGACCTAGTGCAAAACTTTTCAGCCTGATAGGTGAAATTTTCAGAAAGTTTTAAACAAGTGCAAACTGTTAGCAATTTTAAGTGTAAGTGGTCACTACTGCTCCCACTCTTAATAAATAAGAGACCTTTCTAGAGACAGTACAATTTATAAGCAACATCAGTTTCCATGTGAATCAGAGTAAACACCAATGACATGGGTACTTCAAAATACATTTTAAAAATTTACAAAACTATAGAACAGTTTTAAACTAGAAATAAATAAATTAATTCAAATTGAATCCACTAGTTATTTCTTGGTTTCTCCGACGTTGATCATTTAGGGAAGTAAATTTTCAGCTATTATAATTATGAATACTGCAATTAAAAACAGAACACTGGCTTCAAGCCAGGTAGAATCCTGTGTACATCTAAACGTATTCAATGAAGCAGGAAGAGGTAAAATGCAGAGACGACAGAGCAGAGGCAGGGACAAGGAAAGGAAAAATACAAAAGTTTGGAGGACAATATATGTTAAGAGTATACAAAATACTACCAAAAACATACAAGGTTGTGCATTTAAGGCTGCAATCTCATTCTGAGGTTCTGTTGACACTGAAAGAACAAGCAACCAGCAGAATTCACGTA